CGACTCACCGACTTATGTCTTCCGAGATGATGGAATGCGTCACTCGGACTTTCCCAAAGACCATGTCGCATAGATAATGATATAGATAGCCCAGTTTCTCAGAAACTGGTGGCGCCCTGTTGGCGGTTGACCTATGCGCGCAATCCGATCGTTAACACAGAAAAGAACAACAATGGGTTAAAAATGTATTGTCATCATGTGAATCATCAAGAGCGGGGAGAGGGTATAGTGATTCCTCTGTGAACCCTCCCAAACCAACCGGTGTTATTTTGAAGAAGAGCATGATCAACACCAACTAGAGTGAGTGTTGTGATAGCCTTATAAAAGGGTCAGTTGCTATACAATTAAACACTTTCTCATCATCTTCGTCTCCTACCGGCAGTCCACTACCGACAAACCGCCACAAGGGGCTTGGATGGTGTTTTATCGGCTGCCTCAGTTTTTGCCGAATAATGGGTCCTTCCCTCTTGATTATAAAGACAGAGCTATGTGAAGCACAAAGTCCGGCACTATTACTGCCTCATTCTTCGTAATTCCGGCCAGGTTCCGATGGAAATTTTTTGCAACGGCAGGTTTGACTGAAGGATTTCTCCCATCGGCCATTTTGACCTTTCGGACCAGAGTATATTATCCACTTGGCTCAGTATCGCCTGGCGCCAGCACAGAATACCTCGAAAGACTAAATTTGAAGTGAAATTTTGTTCCCAGTGGTATTCTTGACCCCTAGGCGCGAATATTAAACAGGACTGGCGTTAGAGCGGAAGGGGGGGGGGGGAATCAGGGGTAAGTAAGTAAAAGAAAGCCTCCAGGCTAAATGGGGTTGTACTAAGGCCGACGGTAGTGAGGGAAGGGTCATGCTAGGAGATTAGTTTTCCGCTCGCTAGGACGGACCCTTGTGGTACGGGCCAAGTTCCGTTAAGGTTGCAAAGAAGAACGCTATAGTTATGAATGGGAGCTTTTCATTTCTGAAGGAGATTAATTGAAACCGGTTGCTCGAATATCCTCAATATCATATTTTAAGACAAATATATTTGGGCCGATAATGTGATGCCAACCTTCCACGTCATGAACCCACCCGATCTTCGTGATGCCGGCAAACGTGCAAAACTGAATGAACTTGTTTATCGTTTGGAACACACTAACTATTCCATTGGAAGAGTAAGTCAACGTTCGACTGAAACCTGTGAATAATCGTTTCTAAATGACTATTTCAAGGTGTCGACGAATTTCTGGATGTGGCAGTACCAACAGTACCTCAATGATTTCCCTGATGTTGATTATCAAAAAGATTTCTACAACAGGAAGTACTTGAAGAATTTCTTTGATCAGCTCGATTATCAGCAGTATCGTAGTAAGTAGGAACAGTTATAGTTCCGCGATCATTGATTGGGCAGTTGTTTCAAATATCAAATTTTTCTAGATAATGTTAAATTCTTTAATAATGTTACGAATGGTGAACCATGCATTAGGGCGTTTGCATTCGAGACGTCTTTCTATGGTTTGGACAGTTGGGACAAACGACAAGGTAAAAGATTTTCTTCATCTTTTATTAACACAAGATTAGGTTTGGAATGCGCCACGCTCGCATATTTGTTTCAATATCACAGTGATTGCTCATTGAACCCACGTTCTGGACATATTTGAGTTCTGTCGCGATTATGCGTAGAATCCGAATGTGTGGAAAATGAGAAGGCAGTGCCATGTGGGGCAGGCGAATGCCCTATGGGGTTCAATACCAAGGCTTTTATTTTTCTTTTTTTCAGCTGAACTCTTCAGATGGAGAGCTATATTGGACGAGTATCCCGAATTCGACATGTTCCTTGCAAATATTTTCAGGTAATAGTTCCTTTCTTGTTTGGGTCCCTTTATCTGCGCTCGGTCCATAAGCTCCAAATAGAAAAACTTCTTATTTGCGCGAGGAATCGACGCCATGTACACTCCTTATCCCTGGGACGCAGTGGGCGTGGCTGGTCATTCGTGAGATATTTCAATTTGAAACAACTGCATCTCTCGTCTATCTTCGACAGACATGAGTACAATTGTTCAAAAATGAAAGTACATATCTCACCAAAGCTGCTGCTCAGCTCACAATCAGATGGAGTGCGGAGCCACCCCCACTGAGCCCCACCGAACATCAGGGATATGTAGTATATTAGGTTGTCCGGAAAGTTCTCAACGTTCTGTGTTACTATTTTTTGTACATTCGTTACTCATTAAAAACTCTTTCTTTCTTGCTTCTCATAGTACATCTTGAAGAGAATTTTTTGCGCCTCGATGAACCCCCTTTTCCCCAAGACTTTTTGAAGCATGTCAAAAGAGCAACTTCGGACGATATTTTTCTTCAACTAAAAATTGGGTCAATCCGCAGTCGAGACAGCTCGACAAATTAACCAGGTGGGGGGGCCCAATAGTGCTGGAAAAAAGCACCGTGCGACAATGGTTCGGCTAAATTTTTCTTCTGGAGATTTCAGCCTTGAAGATGAACCTCGTAGCGGTCGATCTAAAGCAATACCTGACGAGGCTCCGAAGACGTTCGTGGAGACTGACCCATCCCAAACAGTCCGAGAGATTGCAGAAAAGCTAGGCGTTGGCAAATCTACTAATGCGGATGGTCTGAAACGCATTGGGAAGGTGAAAAAACTCGACAAGTGGGTGCCCCACAATTTGAGTGACCGGCAGAAATTGGCACGTCTCGAGGTTTCTTCTTCACTGCTTTTGCGCAACAGAAACGACCCGTTTTTGGACCGAATTGTCACCTGTGATGAAAAGTGGATCATGTATGATAACAGGAGACGTTCCGGACAGTGGTGGGATGCGCACAGAAGCGATCTCCCCTCAAGGCACAACCTCAGGGCAGACGACCAGATTCAGCACATGGCCTTGTCTCAGGACACAGAAGAGCTCTCTCAGCTGCCTGTGGGCCATCTTACCTGCAGTAGACTCAAATTGATAGCCTATTTCCTTAGGTACTAACTATTTAACAGACGAACAGCATGACTTTTTGCGCGTCACATCATTAAACTTGTAAATCTTTGTAACAAAATTTACCGAGTAGTTATCATGAAGTGCAAAAAATTTCAGTCCTTTCCTGATTGACCAACGGCACACGATCGCGCCGTCTTCGATGCAAACGATTGGCGCTGCTCTTGCTATGATGGCACTCATTTCCTTTTTCTTCCTGCCGGACGCGGTGAGTACCTTTCTAGTCATATTCCTCGAATACTCTCCCTTTACTGGTAACCAGTCTACAACTAATTCGGAAAACTTTATTTCAGCAATCCGTTTTCCTCATGACATGGTCGCTACTATCCATTTCAATGGGTGTATGTGGAGGATTAGCCATGCTCGGATCCGATCTTGATTCCGTCAGGTACGAAACCGCTCAGAAAGACCCCTTTCGAACTTAATGACTCATTTTTAGTATGGGATGCATTGTAATGGCTATTGGACTGGCTGTGGATTATTCTGTACATATTTGCTATCGCTATCATCGCTCTGAATATACAAGATCATCAGAAAAAGTAGGGATTTCGATATGGCTTATTCTGCTCTTTGATTCCTGCGCCTTCTACTGTTCCTACTACACATCCCATGTTTTTCCTTCTCGTCTCGGTAATGTATATTTCATATCTGAAGACTGCGGAAGGCGTGGCTGCGAGAGCAGTGAAGGTCTAGTCAAAGCGGCAGTACAGTCATGATCCGCGATAGAGCCTGTGCCGGGGGCTGACTTGGAACACAGCCAGGGCATCTCACCAGTTGTAGCGGGCTCAGCATGACGTCACTGTTGGAACAAGGGCGCCCTGACTGCTCTCCAAACCGCGCCGCGTCCCACGCCCTATCGATTCATCACGATATGTGTAAGAGAAGAGAGTCATGTAGTACGCATCCAGCATAGTATCACTTCACTATTGTCATTTATCTAGTATTAATATTCCCATTTTTTTCTATAGTTCAACATTGGTTCCTTCTCAATATATCACTTTCAGGTTCGCGACACCTTGTGCTCAGTAGGATGGCCGATCACGCAAGCTGTGTCATCAACTTTGTTTGGTCTCTCCACGACAGCATTCGTTCCAGCTTATCTTGTCAGAGTGTTCTTCCAGACCGTATATCTTGTCAATTTCATAGGTGAGAGTTTATTTTATGAGTAGAGCCTCATAATTAGTCATTACTAATCGAGCGATTCAGCGATGTGTCACCGCTCCATCGCTATTCCCTCAGTCGCTGCCAAATGCAGAGAAAATTCTGTGCTGAATGTGAATGAATTGGCCTTTGTAGTGGTCCAATGATTGGCGCTGGAGCACGGCCGGTCGCAAGCGCAACTCGGAAAAAATCGAAAAGCCGAGTCGTTCTTGTCGCGAATTATGAACGCGACACAAATTTTAATTTTCATTTTTACTTTTTCAAGAAGGCCAGTCGCGGTCGCGTTCTTAACTCAGCCCGCTGCTACGATGACAAGTTTTGGTGGGGGGGGGGGTATCATAATGGCCAATACGATCCTTCTTCCCATGCGAAAAGGCCGCTTGTTGCTCTCAGTTTTCCGGAAACCTTGCAAGGCGAGGGGGGGG